ATAATTTTAGCAGCCTATGATTACCACATTTGTTACCGCAAGGCAGAGATGCATGGAAATGCTGATGGGTTGTCACGAGTGCCATTGCCTGAAATTACAGATGTGGGTACAGAAGCCATGTCAGCACATATTAATACCCTGCTATCTAATCATATACATGAGGCCCCTATAAATGCATCACAGATTGCTAGAGCAACTAGAAGAGATCTACATATGTCTAAAGTTGCCCAGTATGTAATGGAGGGTTGGCCAAGTGAAGTGGCAGAAGAGTTGGAGGTGTTTCAGACTAAAAGAGACGAGTTATCGATGGAACAGGGTTGTGTGCTATGGGGAACAAGGGTGATTGTACCTTTCAAACTTCGAAAATCAGTGTTGTATGAACTTCATGCAGGACACCCCGGCATTGTTAAAATGAAAGCCCTGGCTCGCAAGTATGTGTGGTGGCCGAAAATTGATATGGAAGTGGAAAAATGTTGCAAAGAGTGTGAAATTTGTCAACAAGAACAACGAGTGCCCAGTCAAGTTCCTCTTCATCCAAGGAGTTTCCGGATGAGTCTTGGAAACGTCTGCACATAGATTTTGCTGGCCCTTTCCTGAACAATATGTTTATGATTGTAGTGGATGCTTATTCAAAGTGGTTAGAAGTTTTCCGAATGTCACACATTACATCTCAAGCTACAATTACCAGATTGAAGCGATTGTTTTCAGCATATGGATTACCAGAACAGATTGTGACTGACAATGCAACTACTTTGTAAGAAGGAATGGTATTTTGCATACTACTGGGGCACCTAGACATCCCGCCACCAATGGGTTGGCAGAGAGATATGTCCAGACCTTTAAGGTGGGCATGAAAAAACTGAAAAACGAGCAGATGTGCATTGAAGATATCTTTATTTTTATTGCGCTATCGCACCACTCCAAATTGTACCACTGGCCAATCACCATCTGATCTTTTCTTGAGGAGACATGTCCGTACCAGGTTGGATTTTCTGAAACCAAATATTCATGAAGTTGTTCGCAAGAAGCAGTATTTGCAAAAACACTTACATGATCATAAGTCACGGGAAAGGTCCTTTGCTGTTGATGAGTCTGTTTTCTTGCGTAATACAGCTGGAGGAGATCCAAAATGGTTGTCTGGAGTGGTGGTGCAGCAGACTGGACCAGTATCATATAAGGTGTGTGATTCATCATCAACCACTATGTATAGACGGCATGGTGATCAGTTGAGGCCACGTCATTCTTCATCAGAAACCGATCAGTTGAGTTCGTACAGCTCATTGGAGAAACCAAGTTCTGAAAAAGAGTTGACTGATTCAAGCAGCCAAAATTCAGGGTTGACGGAGTCTCCAGCTGTTGAATGTGAATCTGGACTTCCTGTATCTGGGGCGGCAAGCCCAGTGGGGCCTGCAAGCCCAGTGGGGCCACGTCAATCTAAACAAACTATTAAGTTACCACAACGTTTCAGAGACTAAGTGGAAACATAGTAATGTTGAATTGTATTTTGTGATGTTTGATTTATGTGATGATTATCTTAAGAGGGAAGGTGATGTGGTGTATTGGGATAATGTGTGTGTGTAATGATCTGGGTGTTGGTCTCGCTATTGATTGGTTCTCGACAACTATTTAAGCCATGTGATGTATTGTTGTGATGACGTTGTTTATATCTAAGTAAAGCACGCTTGATGGCATTTCTGTGTGTTTGTCTCGTAAATATATAACAGCGGAGAATAAGGTGAATAGTGTTCCACACATACAGTAACTTCCTAAGGGCATTCTACATAACCTCTTATAAAACACAAGGGGGAGACATAAACAAAAATAAATATAATCTACACATTAAGAGTAATTATCCTAGTAAAGGCTTTAAATTGCAATTTCGGTTGAATCTGAGTATATTGAAAAATATTTAGATATAGAGTGGATTTTCTGATAGATGTCCGCTCCAGGGTAGAGTAACATGTAAAATTTCTGTCTTCATGATTATTAATAAAGTTGAGTGTTTAAGGGTCTAGATTGTATGATGACCTTAGTGTCATCCCTCTTCAGAGAAAATTTGAAATAATATGTTTCATTGCTTTTTCTGTATGCCAAATGATTTGTTTCCTCAGGATGCATGCATAGTCATGCATTTATACTTGTGTTTGCTGTTTGTGTTGCTCTGCAATACCACTTCTAAAATGCTACCTGGCAGTAGGTTTTAATTTTTCTCTGTGCCAAGTCTCTTTCGCGGGTGTTTTGTTTTTTTCTGAACGCTCCAAGTAGCTCAAACTTGCTCATTCAGAAGCGGGAACTGGTGGAAGGGCATCAACAATAATCATAAAAACACAAAACAAAAGTCTCCATCCATTTCTCTTTTACAGGACTCGACACTTGTAAACATTCCCTCCAGCAGGTTCGCGGTTCTCAGCACCGTCCACACTCATCACCACTACCAAGCTGACCAATCACAGAGTTTGCGCTGTGCATTGTTACGATGTGTAATTACATTTTTTTAAGAGGTGCGCATCGGCATCAGCCACGGCAAGACTTGTGCGACTGCACGATGGCTGCGCTGGAGCATATGCGTGTGCTTAAGGCTGACTTATACTTCTGCATCAAGTAATCACTGGAAAATATTGTTCATAATTATGCAAACACACATGCACATTGAAATTTTCGAAGTCCATCTGTGTTTTTACATCAGGTTAAAACACCTTTATGTATGACACAGTTAATGATGTTATGTGAAGTATAATTGTTGCTGTTTTTAGATTTTAAGCAGAGCAGCGTACAAACTCTTTGAGATTGTTATAGCTGGTTTCTGCTGATGAAACTGCAAACTATCTTTAATAATCGATTTTAATTGAATCTCTGACTCCTTTCTTCTACATCTGACAGATCATTTTTAGTTTAAAACTGTTGTTTCCCCTAGACTAGTAAAATATTATGTTGTCATCATGACAAAGATAAAAGAAATCATTTATTAAAAATTGTTAATAAAACTAATTTCATTAGAAATGTGTTGAAAAAAATCTTCTTAAACATATATTATGGAAATACTTTTGTGAGATCGCTACATGACCAATCCCTCTGATTGGTCTTTCTGATCTCTGATTGGGAGTGTTCCTGCATCCAGCACAAGTGACAGCACAAGCAGCAGCAGTGGTCGAGCTGGCTTTTCTCCGTCTACTCAGTGTTTCGCTGTGTGCCTAAAAGAGCAGATTTCCTAAAAGAGCAACATGGTTAAGCAATGCGTCTTTTAAAAATTTCCTTCCGACCATGTGTTTTTTGGTGTAGTGGTTTCCTCTCTCTGGATATTGGTTATGATCATTGCATTGCATGTCTGGGGATCTAGCATGTGGAGGTGGTACTCATGGAGAGATTATGCCCTCTCTGCAAGGGCATGTCTGTTATGCAGCTGAGGCCACGGCTCACCATTGCAAAAGGCTGCACCACCCATGTTGTTCCCACAAGTCACACAGGCATGGAGAGTGCCTTTCTCCACCTGGTCCTTGTGTGCTACAGGCCTCGAAGCCCTTGACAGCAGAGTAGCCAGGGGGTATGAAGCTATCCCCCTCAGTTCAGCAGCACCATCTGAAACATGCCCAGGAGTTCTCAGAGGTGAAGGAGCAGTCAAGCATGATGGAACATGCTATCTATTGTCAGGTTCCTAAAGCAGCTCCCCCCCAGGCTCATCAGCTTTGATAGCTCTTTGCTGAGGGTGTCCACATGCAGTTTCAAGACCTGCTCTGCCTCTACAGAGAGAGCCACTCGGTGCGTTGATTGACTTGGCGTCAATCAAGAGGGTCAGGAACCTGGAGTCATTTTCAGTCAGAGAAACATGCTTAGAATTTAGGCTGGCTTTCTCTCACATTGTCCTGATATCCAGCTATATGTCCTCACCTTTTAGAGACCAAGCACTGTCCACAGAGAAGGCAGATGAAGCCCTTTCACTGCTGTGTCCCATTCGCATGCCAGACTTTCCTATGCTTCTGAGCAGCTCTTTGTCTGTTATGGTGATTGGCAAAAGGGAAGTGCTGTATCAAGATATGTATATAATAGAGGTTAGCCAACTGAATAGTTGATGCAGTTGCCCTCATTTATCAGTGCAAGGGTTAGCTGTTACCCCCAGGAGTGAGAGCGCACTCAACAAGAACTGTCGCTTTCTCTTGGGCAATAGCACATGGTGCCTCTGTAACAGAAATGTAAAATTTTCATTCGGAAATTTTTTCCAGTGCTGTATGAAATCTGGTCTGGTCCCGCGACAAAGCCCAGGTACAGCTACGGGAATGCATACAGCCGAGTGGAAAAGAGAGGGGAGGAAAAGTCACGCCAGCAGGTCAAATGGGCCACAGTGAGAGAGAGAGAAATGGAGTTCACTTTCATTACCTTAATCGCAGAGGAATAGGGGCTTCTGCTGGAAGTGTCAGTGAAAGATTGTCCAGAAATCACACACACGCAGTGAAATTGTGCACAGTTTCTGCGTTTTTAAGTAGTTGACGCCTGGAATGTTGTACTATAAATACCTTCCTCGCAACAGAGCACATATGAGGTAAATGACGCCAGTACATAATTACCAGTTATGATTATTACTGAACCGATACCGAATTGTCCGCAACTGCATCGCGGTGCACCAAAGAAACAATTAATTTTGACACCCCTATCACAGCAGCTGGGTCTCCAGCTGATAGCTGAGTATTCAGCTTCTTTAGCAGCTAAAAGTATGTAGTGCTCTCCTGTAGCTTCTGCCAATATACTCTCATAAAGCTTTATTGGCAGTTTTGGAGCTCTTCTTTGCCAACTCATAGGCATTCATTGGCCTGTTTTCTTACTCTTCAGGATGATTGGTCATCTGGCAATCTCCACAAAGTTTCTCTTTTAGACACATGTCTCCTTTTCCTCCTTCGGGAAACGTGGATTACAGACATAGCCAGGACAGTACACAGTGACTTCATTAAGTGGCACAATGCTGCAGTACTGTGTTAAAAATGTGCTTTATTTGGGGTAATTGTCTTTACCTGTGTTCTCCTTATCGAGTTCTTGAAAGGCACTGAGGAGATCTGACTTGTGTGCAAACAGCTTCTCACGTAGGACTTTGAGAGCTGTGTGCTCTGTGCGTTTTACACTGAAAAAATATAAAAAATAAGCAGATTCTATTACAATGAATCACTGTCACTGTAACAAAAGCAATAATCATCATATTGAAAATAATTACAACACAAGGTAGCCCTTATCACAGATTTCGATTGATACAAAAGCATAACTTTTAACTGTAACAATACATGTAAATTGTGAATAAATATTATTTCCCTAGTACAGGGTTTCTCAGTCAGCAGCCCGGGCACAATGTGGGTCTTAAGGTGACTTACAAGTTCATCAAAAAACATTTACAAAATTGATTACTAAAACCATTTAAAATAATTCACAGTGAGCATTCTGTCGCCATAAAATCCCCATAAATCCTGTGTTTTTTTTTTTGTCACCATAAAAATGTGATGTCAAACCCAACCTCAGCTGCTGCCATGACATGTAGGCACCATTTGTGGCTGAGGGAGCAGAGACAAGTGTAAATATATGAATAACATGTTTACATCCCTAAAAACTTCAATTAAAATTGGCATAAGCCACTTATGTTAATATGATTATGTTTACTGAGATTATGAGCTTAATCAAATTTTAGATAATTTACATGGGATAAACTTTAAACGCATTATTGCCAAAATCCCATTGTAATTGAATTAAAAGGGTGAATGTAAACATACCCATTGAACAACTGTTGTAGGAAAAAATACTGAAAGTCAGTGACTACCAGTTTCCAATATTCAGCTGAAGGGAGAGTCCAAAAGGTCTAAAACCACTTCAAGGTGAGTAAAATTTAATTGATGAAATAATAACATTTTATTCAATTCCTTAAGACAAATTTTGGAAATTTGGTATTTGTAGAACTATTTGTATAAAATATCTGTTTGATACAGTTAAATGACAAAAAAATGTGATTTGGACTTTTTTTACCTTTTAAAGTAATTGGTTCTTTCGGTATTATTGTGGACATTGAGTGAATAGCTTGAGAAACACTGGACTAGTTTATCAAAGGTAAATAGTATCATGTGTGTTAATTACTTTTGTGGAAAGCTCAGTCCTCGGGTCATACTCGTGGCCTGATATTGAATAAAATAAGGCATGAGATCTGGACCAAGCCGGACAAAGGCTCCTCTGTTACTTCCAATCTCATAATAGTTTGAGGCTGAAAAAAGTGTCACAACCTGAAAGTGAAAACATGGAGAAATATGTATCAAATAAACCAAAAAAAAAAAAATTTAAATATACACTGGCATTATAATACTTTAGGCAACTTAACTACACTGTTTAAACAAGTCCATAAAATTTACAGAAAAATACCAGCAGCCGTGGTTGCCAGAAAATTTCCGTAAAAAAATACGGAAGTTTATAGAACTGTTTAAATTTATGGAAAATAACCGTACTGATACAATGTTCAGTTCACAAAAATGTAGCTTAGTGTATAAAAACACAAAGCCATTCAATGCACTCATGTATTCATGTGTGTTTACAATTAGTAAACATATTTTCACTGCATCAGTAACTACACAGTTACCTTTAAACAAAAGACGATGCAGCATAACGTCAAACTTTTGTAGTTCATCTCAGACTTGTACCCAGATGCTACTATCCTTCGCATTGGTGATACTAAAAACGTTTTACAGAATTTTGCTCTTTTTCTTTCTTGATTTTACAGTAAAATACCGGCAGCTGTGGTTGCCAGTAATCTGTTGTTTTTAACATTTTACATTCGTAAATTCAGTTTACAGAATATTCTGTTAAAAATACATTTAACAGTCTGTATTTTTCTTGAAACACATTTAACCCCTCAAATCCCAGAGCAAAATCCTCACTAGTGTCCTCACTACAGAGGGTTGAACACTTAGACAGTGATAAAGTTAATGAGATAATTAAATGTCTAATTAAAGGAGGATTGAAAATAATAGATATACAACTGTTAACAGCAGAATCACTGAAGGAAAGGAAAACACAAGTTACAGCCAAAACCAAAGATGAAATCAACTGAGAATAAAAACTCTAAATAAAATAATAATTAATAAAAATAAAACAAATGACACAATAAAAAGGTAATTTCTCAAGATCTCAGCACAGATTATTAAACAACTCCACAAACATCAGGAGCTTTACTTATTATTGAATTTCTGTCTCATAACCAACAGTCAATACTATAGTATTAATAGTTTCTCCAAAACGAAAATTTGATCAGTTACAGCTATTTTCCGTATTTTGTACAGAAATGAGCTTAAAATCATTAAACAGGTTTTTACTGTAGATTGTAAGACAGACATTTACTGTTAAAATCAAAAACTTTTTTTACAGAGTACCCTTTAATGTTCTCATATTTAAAAAAAAAAAAAATTGAAGTTCTAAAGCAGCTGTGTTCTTGAGAAAGATGTGATAGTGTCATTAGCAACTGAATTGGAAATGACATTATTTTAATATAGTCAGTCATGAACTGACGTGGGCCGGTCTAAGTCTTGAAACTTCAGGCCTGAAAAAAGAGTCTCACTCTGGCCCTGGTTTGAACTTACAGACATGTTGCCATGACAGTGAATTTGAATTTGTGTCAAATCATAAAAAAAAAAATAAATCAAATTCATCTCCCTGAATAATCTACGTATGAACAGACCCAAAATTTGTCTGTGATCACTGACCTTGCGATTGTGGCAAAACTCATATCCATCTTGTTTGCACTCGTGGGAGCGGATAATGAGCTGCAGATTGTGTCTGTTTAGAAAGTCTTCGGTGATATTAGGACCCCAGTAACAGCCTCCACCTCGCACCTCGTTTGGTACACAACCGTCCTGAGACATGGGGTCACTCCACAGTAGGTCCAAAATCTAAACATACACAAAAAAACGTCATTGTCTGTTAAATTCAATTTACTTTTAAAATGTAGATTGTTAAATGAATAAATACATTTGAAAGAGGAGAAATGTAAACCAGTTTGCTACAGTATGTGTCAGTGTGTATTTACAGAATGGTAAATGGAATGCAAAACTATATATATATATATATATATATATATATATATATATATATATATATATATATATATATATATATATATATTAGGGATGCAATAATACAGTTAGCCCACGGTTCAATACATACCTCAGTTTTTTACCACAGTTTTCGGTTTGGTTCTCATGGCTTGACATGTGTTTTTTTTTTATTATTATTCTATAGGCAATAGGAACAGTAAGAGATTAAGGAGAAAAAAATAAAAACGATTCATTGCAATACTCATTTTGTTTTACTTAAAAGCCAAGAAAAGTACTCCAGTTCCTAGTGTATTGAATTAAAAAATTAACATTGAAATCTCACAGCTGCTGTTAGCCCATGTACAAACTGGGGAACACATAAAATCCTACACTTTGAAAATAAAAATACATGCAAAGTTAATAAAGATAAATTGTCCATTTCAAATAAACATATTTGTACTTAAGTAAACATAAATAGACAATCTTAATTATCTCGGTGCTGGAAAAATGCAAGACTGTAATCCAGGGCTATTCAATTGGCGGCCCGCGGCCCGAACCCGGCCCCCGAGCCAATTTTTTCTGGCCTTCTAAATGGTGTGACCAAGACATAAAAATAAATTTAGTTCAGTCGAAAAACGGCCGCTATAGCTATGAAGTGCTGTGCGTGTGTTCAATTCAGTATGAGCTGCAGAGGCTCCGCAGAGCGTGAGTCACCATAAGCGAGTGGTGCGGACAGCCTAAAACATTTGGATATGTTTTGTAGAAAATGCCTTTTGTACAATGCACTATAATCATTTATAGGGATGCAACGATTTGCTGATTTCACTATTAACTGCGCTTTAATTCGTCACAGTTAATTAATCGTAAAGGCTTCTCTAAGCCGCATTTCTGTTGCACGGAAAATTTATGACAAGTTGCCAAATGTGCACAAGTTTAAAGTTCCAAGTATGTACACCGAGGCTAATACGCACGCTTATCGTATTAACTATAGCAGCGGCCGTTCCCATATCACATCTTTTCTCCTTGCAAGTTTGTTATTTTTAATGTAAGAATGACAATTTGCACGCACAAGCGGAGCAACGCGCTTGTCTCTGTCTGGGCGCACGCAGTAAAAAACATCTCACGGTGATAGTTGTGTACGCCTTTCAGTGCAATGTCAAGCGCCCCCTTACTTTAGAGCATAGTGATTGGATATTTACTCGCGGGGAGGAGTTTCCTTATCTCAGCTCACGGACTTACAGGTACACATAGTCAATCCAGGGAAATATAAAACACACATAAATTATTTAAACGCAAAACCGAGAATACCGCAATTCACAATCACGTATTAAAACGTGGAGGTTGTACCAAACGGTCCAATATTATATTGAAAACCGTGGCATCCCTAATATATATATACAACCTCCACGTTTTGATACGCGATTGTGAATTGCGGTATTCTCGGTTTTGTATATACTGTTGTATATATATATACAACAGTTCTGTCTGGTTCTCGAATCTGATTGGCTGATAGCCGTACGATATTCTGCAATATCATAACTCCTACAGCCTCTTTACTCTTTGTGTATTACTCTGCCCACATACAGCCAGCAAAAAGCACCCACTACAGATCTAAAGTTTAAAAGATGCACGCTCAACTGTTTAATTGTCAGCTTATGGTTTGAATCCGGAAGAAAGTAGTTCCTCATACAATAGGGTTTTTGAGACTCTCCATGTTTGATTTTGTTTTTATATACACAATTATGCCGTCAAACTGTTGTATAAATGCAATATCACATTCGTAGCAGTGCGATATGGCTGTATATTGGCACTGGTGGGGGCACTAAGGCACTCGGCTTGCAGCCTCGTGCCTCGTGCCAACGCCTGCCTCCCACTAGTGCCGATATACAGCCACATCGCACTGCTACTCGTGTGATATTGCTCATATATATATATACATACATACATACATATATATATATATATATATATATATATATACATACATCTGCATAAGCATTCTGAACGGCATTTATGGTGAAGTGCACCAGTGTTGCAAGCTGGAAGGTGGCACGTCCCAGACTCAATAGTGTCCGGATGCAGCCTTTATGATGCAAGCTGAGATTGCATCACTCAGCAATGCAATGTCAGACACAATGCACTCAAATGGGGCGATGGGGCGAGTGACTTTACTGTGACGGGTAGGGTTATGGGTGTGGTTATGTGAGCCCATTAAAAAGCATTTGATGCAGCTCAGATTGCACTGCACCAGGTCTGCATTCAGATCTCTCTCCCCATCTTTTTTTAAAAAATGTGTCACTAGCCAGTTGGCCTTTGGCTCTATGTTGTGTGATGGAGTTTCCCGGCCCTCCACCGGGCAATGATTCCCATTAAAATTTCCATAAACATTTTTCTGATCACTATGGAACACAACAAATTTGTCATAAAAAATCAGTAAAAGTGTCAGTACTCAATATTCAATGACATGTTAGTGACAACTTCATTTTTTTCTGTATTTGAGTTCAAGAAAAATATCAACAACGTGATTATAAAATTCTTGACAATTCTGACAGGGAAAAAAAGCCCTTTTCTCTATTCCTGAATGTAATCTGTTCGGTGTTCACAGCTTTTGACAGGCTGTTTTACTATCGTTTACTATCGTAAGGTCGTTGCTACAGTTTTTAATGACACACGACTCGTATTGACAGGTGAAAATCCAATCTAGGTTTGTTGCGGCTCCGAGCAGCGCATCTGGTGCCTCAGTCAGATTTAACTCAGTGTGCGTGGTTATTAGTCTCGGTGTACAAGCTCAGCATTTTAAACTGTAAAACTATTCAAAGACACAAATGATTTTGTACTTTCTGCTTGGTCTGTGTCCGAGTCTTACATGTACGATTGAATGCTGGTCTTTTCACTCATGTTGCTTCTCTCTGTCTGCCTGTCTGTTGCCAAACACAGAGTGGGGGAGCTCTTGGCTCCGCCCCCTTGTTACATTGGGCGGGAAGTCAAAACTAATTTTCATGTGAAGCAACAAACCCCTAAAACAGCGAGCTGTGTACCCAAAATAACACTTTTTAACACTTTATAATAAAATAATCTGAACTGTGTTTTGAACTGAACCTAAACTGGCACACGCAGAAGAACCATAATATTAATATTAAATCATAAACAAACGGGTAAACTATGTGCCCTTTAAATATAATCTTCTTGGCTGCAGTTTGTGCAGTATGAAATATCCTATGTTGGTACATGTTTAAGTTAAGAGCATGAACATCATTTAATAAACAGATTTTGGGTTTTTTAGGAATAAATGTATTACAAAATTCTCATATAATTTGAAAGACTTTTTTTCAAAATGTACTTTTATGCTATGCCATGCAATATCAAAATTTACTTACAACTAAGTCTTAAAACTGTGCAGTCGACATGACCAGAAATATAGCTGAATGTTAGAAAACTCCAAACCCCTTTTTAACAGGTGGTCTCTGTAATGTTTTAAGATTCTAGGGTGCTTGTTGTTCTAAATAAATTTAGTTATTATCTGTGGTGTAAAGTAACAAATTACAAATACTCAAGTTACTGTAATTGAGTAGTTTTTCTTAGAAATTGTAATTTACTAAGTAGTTTTAATAATGTGTACTTTTATTTTCCCTTGTGTACATTGTTATTGCTGGATTGATACTTTTGCTCCATTATTTTCGTTTAACCTGCAGCCACTTCTTTTATTTTTTCTTGTCTGTGAAGATTGGCTGAGTAATCTTGTGATTTCTGTCCAATCAAATCGCACATAGAAGTTAAATCGCATTATAATGAACTACCTCAGGACGTGTGCTTTATAATTGCAGTAAACTGTTTGGAAGCATTAACTGTGTCCAAGAAGATGTCCAAAATCTTTACACGCATTGACCCAGAGACTGTTTAGATGCATGTCACTGATAAGAAGATGACGAATGTTTACTGTTTGGTGACCAAAATGGCCTTAAACACCCAGCAGGCACAAGACATCAACATGACATCGGATTGATGTTTTACCCCAACTTCATAGGGACTTGCATTTTGTTTGGAAATGAAAATTGGGTTAACATCAAAATCCCAACATCCAACCTAAAATCACATCAGAATCCCAATGTCCAAACATCCAACCTAAAATAAACCAAATATCAACGTCTAAATATGTTACAGATTGACCTTGTTATGGTTAATGATATTACAGATTTACGTCATGGACGTTATCACTATGACGTCTCTCAAAGATGTTAGATTTTGGTTGCCATACATTATTAATAAATGGGAATATTTGACATTAATATGACATTGGCTTAAGATGTTGGCTCGATTTTGGTCACTTTCCAAAACATCCTAAATTTTTATACATTGGCTAAACATTGAATTTTGGTCACCTGACATCACAACCTAAATCTAATCTAATATTAACATCTTATCACATTGTGTGCCTGCAGGGCAATAACTAAATGCACTACAGAATATTACGTTTACACACATTCACAAAGTAAAAGGATATGCATCAGCTTTTTACAGTGTAATACTACTTTTGAGCACTTTCAAAATGTCTACTTTTTAATCATATTTTCAGTAATATTTACAACAGATACTATTACTCCACTTGCACTACATTTTTAGTTAAGTAATGATACTTTGACTTGAGTATGATTTTTCAGGACTCTTTCCGCTACTGGTTATTATGGAATTTATTTTATTTTAAAAAACATCAACATAAACTTTAAACATAAACCAACGTAAACCATAACTAGCGCAATTTAAGAGGGTCCTTCACTTTAAGGAAGGAAAATCAGGGAGATAAGAGCAGTGTTCTGATCTCTGTGAAAACAACATTTATTTATTGCAAAATTTAAGGA